AAAAAAAAAAAAAAATTGTAATATGCGGGTTTTCATGTGGACATATGTTTACTGCTGGACTTTTCGAAAGTGGCTGTATTATTTTGCATTTCACCAGCAATGTACAAGATCCTTTTGCACTTCAAAAGCTTTATTTTAAACACACGTCCTTAATCTATCTGTATGTTAAGACTACAAGAATAAAATGACACAAAGCCAACTCCAGCATAGAAGACAATGCCGAGTAACAATAAGGTGTGGTGTTTTCAGCTGTTATCACGTGAACTTCGCAGCAACTCCAAGAAAAGTATGTGGAATGGCATTGCAAGGAAACAGATTGGATCTGAACCACTAAGCCCCGCTCCAGAATTCATTAGCTGTTTGGTCTTTGGCAAGGACGCCATCAGTTTCTCGAGAAGTAAAATGAAGTTGCGAGACGGGCTTATAAAGCATTGGGTTATCACAAGGCTTGTCAACCATATTCTAGCACTGATGAGCACATGTGGCGGAACTCCAAATCTGGCTTACTCCAAAGCCTGTATCTGGAAAAGACTCTGTTCCCAAGGCTAAGGTTTCTTCAGTCCCTGGAGTTCACGGAGTCTACTTTTCAGCAGTATCTCACTTCCGCCTGCTCCCCTCACCCCGTGCCCTAGAGGTCCTCGGGCTCTGCTAACTCGGACGCTCCAAGTCGCCAGCGCCCGAGGCAGCTTCATTTACCATGATGACGGTCGCGAAGCCGCCCGGCGCAGCCTCTGGGGTACTAAGACGCTGTCAATCTTCGGGTCTCACAGATCCACAAGCCGACTCCACACACGACCGTCGCGACAGGAAAAGGTCACTCTTTAAAAGGGCCGAGTGAAGAGCGAGCGCGACGCAGCCGTTCCGCACCTTTATCCTCTGCTTGTCTCTAAAGGACGGAAGTTGCCGGCAGGCGGCATTTGGCCGGTGCACCACCGGAAGTGGTGCGGTGGAACTTCTACGGGGGCCAGATCCGGGAGTAAAATCGTCTTAAAAAAAAGTTTTTTTCCGTCCTGTAGATACTGGGCAGTGCGTTGAGGCCTGAAGCCGTTGCAGACTTTGGGGCAACCCCTGCCTCCGGCTCCCACAGCCCCCCCGGCGCGCGACCTAATGCCGGTGAGTACCCCGCCGCGCCTGCTGCTCCGCGTGCTGGTGACCCTGCCCCGGGCTCCGCTGACCTTCCAGGGTGCGACTGACGCAGCCAGCCACCGAGGAGGACAAGGGGGCCTCCAGAACACCCCTCAGCGTTCGCCCTACGTGGAGGTGTCTCCAACCTTGAGCGAGGGCGACGCATCTTTGTTTCTGTTGCTGTGTGTGCTGTGTTAACGGTGGAGAAGGATGCATAAGGAATGAAAACGTAGGAAAGTTACACTGCCAGGAAAATAAAATTCTTGTCTTCTGCACTGATTCCACTCCTGAGTGGGCTAAGGTTTGGTAGCCCTCTAGTGCCATAGAGAAGTAATTGACTACAAGAAAGTACATCTGATTGAGAACACTGCCAGTTTTACCTTTTTACTGCCCAGTTGTAGACGTTCCTTTAATTACCTCACAGTTTGGAGAGTGGTTCAGTTGTGATGGGAGCAAAAATAACTGTACCAAAAAACAAGTATTCATGTCAGTAACTTTTAGTGCTTTAATTGAGGCAGTTTTTAAAGGCTGCATCTTAAAAAAAAAGCTGCCTCAGATTAAGGTGATCTGGTCATTTTCTTTAGAACCAGAAGTAGTACTAACTAGCGTTTATATAATTTCAGGTGCAGTACGTTGTATACTCTCTCTGCCTGAAATGGGCTCCTCCACATCCAGTTGCCTCTCTTTCTCACTTCAGGTTTTTGCTTGCTGTGACTCACTAAATGACACTGCTTTAGTGAGGCCTTCCTTGACCTCTTTTTTTTTTTTTTTTTTTTGCAGTTTCTGGCCAGGGCCTGGTTTGAACCCGCCACCTCCCCCATATGGGGCCAGTGCCCTACTCCTTTGAGCCACAGGCACTGCCAGACCTTGGCCTCTTTATTTACAGCTACAACTTCCCCAATTCCCTTTTCCTGCTTAATTCTTATTATTATTAGCATAAAAGATGCTATATGCGGTATTCATTTCTTCAATTGTCTGTATTCCTTGACTGGAATAAAGGCAGTATGAGGGCAGGGTTGTTGTCTTTTGTTCACCTGGCAAATTCTTGTGTTGTTTTTTTTTTTTTTTTTTTGAGACAGAGTCTCACTATGTTGCTCTCCATAGGGTGCTGTGGCGTCTTAGCTCACAGCAACCTCAAACTCTTGGGCTCAAGTGATTCTCTTGAGTCAACCTCCCAAGTAGCTGGGACTACAGGTACCTGGATATTTTTAGAGGCAAGGGCTGGCTCTGGCTCAAGCTGGTCTTGAATCTGTGAGCTCAGGCAATCCACATACCTCTTGCTTCCCAAGTGTTAGGATTGTTTATAGGCGTGAGTCACCGCCCCTGGCCCAACAAATTCTTGTTGAGGAAATGAGAGTGGGTAGTCCTTGGAGAAGGTGTGCAAAATCACTCCTGGCTGAAAACCACTGGCTTAGAGTAACAAGAGACTGAGGTCTATTACAGTAGTAACTGGAGAAAGACACGAAGCCCTGATCTTTGACATTAGGAATGAAGAGAGAGTGGATTCAAGATATACTTAGGACATAAAATGAAGGGATCTGGTGATTTCCTAAAGAAGACTAGCAAATATCTCTTTGTTACCTAAGATAAAATACAGAAAGGAACAAATTTAGGATTGATAATGAGTTTTGACTTGACTTCTTAGTACCTGGAACACAGTGGTTTAACCCTATCTGTTTATCTCTTCTCTCCCATCCCCAGTCTCAGATGTGTTCATGAGTTTCTTGTAGCTTTGATATTATAGTTAAAACAGTGAATATTTAGTAAATGTTTTTGAACATGTGTAGTTTCTGTAATAACAGGACGAGGACTTGCCTTTGTGTATTTTTTACATGATTCTATATTTACATATTTGCGGAAGAAAAATTAGAATATACAGATAAGCCAATAAATTTTACTACCCATGAGAAATTACCAAGTTAATATGGGGATGCTTACTTTTGAAGTTGTAATTCTGTACACGTACATAAAAAGCATTTTGGTTGTATGATGTTTTTGTCATTTCTATAAATCTCTATTTTGATGTTTCCTTTATTAAAATGTGTGGAATAAATAAGGGACGTTTTATGCTCAGAATTTATTCAGAATTCAGAATTTAGCCAAGGTACGGTGCCCGTAGCACAGTGGTTACAGTGCAGCCACCTACACTGGTAAGTTAGAATCTGCTCCAAGCCAGCTAAAACAACAGTGGTCCCGCACGCAACCTAATGCTGGTGAGTACCCTGCTGTGCCTGCTACTCCGCGTGTTGTATTTATTCAGAATTTTCATTTTGCATCGAATTTTTGATAGCTAAAAATAATTGTTACTACTTTTTAAAGGTTTTTTTTTTTTTTTTTTTTTGAGACAGTGTCTCACCTGTCATCCACGCTATACTACAATGGTGTCATCATAGCTCACTACAACCTCAAACTCTGGGACTTAAGTGCTCCTTTGGCTCATCCTCCTATGTAGCTACGATTACAGGCACACACCACCATGGCTAGTTTTGTTTGTTTGTTTGTTTGTTTTTTGAGACAGAGTCTCACTATGTAGCCATTGGTAGAATGCCGTGGTGTCACAGCTCACAGCAACCTCAAACTCTTGGGCTCAACCGATTATCTTGCCTCAGCCTCCTAGTAGCTGGGATTACAGGTACCCGGCACAATGCCTGACTATTTTTTGTTGCAGTCGTCATTGTTGTTTTCGCTGGCCTGGGCCGGATTCCAACTCGCCAGCCTCAGTATATGTGGTTACCACTATAACCACTGTGCTATGGGCGCTAAACCTTGGCTAGTTTTTCAAATTCTTTTTGAGGCTGGTCTTGAACTCCTAGGCTCAAGCAGTCCTGCCTCAGCCTCCAAAGTGTTAGGATAACAGTTGTGAGCCATAGCACCTGGTCAAAAGTAAGACATTATTTATTTATTTATTTATTTTTGAGACAGAGTCCCATGCTGTTGCCCTAAGTAGAGTGCGATGGCATCACAGCTTACAGCAACCTCAAACTCTTGAGCTTACGTGATTCTCTTGCCTCAGCCTCCCAAGTAGCTGGACTATAGGTGCCCGCCACAACACTCACCTATTATTTGGTTGTAGTTGTCATTGTTTGGCAGGTCTGGGCTGGATATGAACCCGCCAGCTTCACTGTATGTGGCTGGCACCCTAGCCGCTGAGCTACAGGTGCCCAGCCAAAAGTAATACATTTTTACCTTACGTATTGCATATGTCTAACTGATACATGCCTTACTGACATGTAATATGTAAATTTAGTTTTATAATTTTGTACCTTTCTTTTTTCAGAGAATAACAGTTTAGAGGATAAAGATGTTGAATAACCTGAGGATATTTGCAATGAATCATCAGAAAATGTCCAGTTTGCACATTAATGTAAGCTTTTCTTGTAAAATTAAATGTGTTTTAATAACTTCAGTTGTTTTACTACCTAAGATGGGCAATGTATCTCATCAGCTTTTTATTCTAAATTTAGTTTTTCATAACCTTTGGGTATCCTCAAGGCAAACTGACTTAAAAGAAATTAATTTAATAAGTATAATAAATTAAATAAGACAGAAAATAGATATAGCTAACCACTAGTCTCATGTCATACTAAAATGCCAAATATTTTTGGAGTATAGTCCTCTGTATCTTTTCTAATTATAGCAGCACTTAATGTACATCCTTAAACTGCCAAGTAAAAATACGCTTTATAATTATCCACAGGTTGAGACTCCTATGAAACAAAGCTTCTTTTAAATTAATGTAAAGGTACAACATAATTATACAGTGGTTGATACAAGAAAACTACTTTTGATTTTCTTCTTCAGAGTTGTTGGAAGTTAGTTTCTTGGGAAATCTAGTATTTGTCTCATATTTTGGAAATGTTAGTCTTTAAGCCCTGGACTGATGCCTTAATTCTCTTGAAAACACTATAAATTATTTTGTGAACTGTCACATCTTCAGTATACTTTAGAAATAGTAATCTTCAACTGAAATCATGCCCCTTTTTTTTTTTTAAATCTACAGCTACGAGAAAGACTACTTTGAAGCTTTCCTGTGTCACTTCTTTTCTTTTTTTTGAGACAGAGTCTTACTTTGTCGCTTTTGGTAGAGTGCTGTGGCGTCACAGCTCACAGCAATCTTGAACCCCTGGACTCAAGCGATTCTCTTGGCTCAGCCTCCCGAGTAGCTGGGACTACAGGTGCCTGCTATTTTTAGAGATGGAGTCTCATGAGCTCAGGCAGTCCACCCACTTCAGCCTTCCAGAGGGCTAGGATTGCACTGTGCCCGGCTGTCACTTCTTTTTATCTTTGGCAGTGACTTAACAGGAAGTCAGTAAACCCCTCTTGTTTGTAGTTTTGTTTTTTGCTGTTTTAGTTACCTACTGTAAACAGAGGTCTGAAAATATTAAATGGAAAATTATAGACATAAACAATTTATAAGTTTTAAATTGCATGTCATCCTGAGTAGCATGATGAAATTGATGCTGTCCAGCCTCATCCTACCCAGGAGGTGAATCATCCCTTTGGTTAAGGTGTCCACACTGTAGACACTAGCTGCCCTCAGGAGCCATCTTGGCTTTCAGGTTCATGGTGATGCAGTGCATGTGTTTAAGGAATTCTTATTTTACTTAGTAATAGCTCTAAACTGCAGGAATAATGATGCTAGCAGTTTCAGATATGCCAAAGAGAAGCTAGCTGTAAGGTGCTTCCTTTAAGTGAAAAAATGAGCTTCAGTTTACAAGAAAAAAAAATCATGCTGAAGCTAGTCAAATCTGTGATAAGAATAAATCTAACCATGAGATTGTGATGAAGGAAAAAGAAATTTCTGCTAGTTTTGCTGTTTCGCTTTGAACTGGAAAAATTTATGGTCATGTTGTGTGGTACGTGCTTAGTTAAGATTGAAAAGGCATGAAATTTGTGGGTTGAAGACAGGAGCAGAAATGTATTCCAATTGACAGCAGTTGGGTTCTGTACTGTTTGTATTTTGGGGCATCTGCTGACAGGCCTGGGATTAGATCCCTTGAGGAGAAGGGGAACCTGGCGAACCTGTATCCCAGAAGAATCATGCCTTATTATTAGTCTGCAAATTAACTTTTGCCACTTGAATCACCTGTGGCATTTTGAAGAGTATATATTTCTCTCTTCTATTTTTTATGTTATTATGTGGCCCAACGATTTATACAGTTTTTCTTCGGTGTTTTGATTTCTGACAATTGAGATTAGCTGCTTATGAGAGGTAGACACTGGGTCTTCTTATCCTTGTCGTTATGCAGTAAAAATTTGCGTCTCTTCTCTTGAAATATTTATATGCATTGACAGTTCAAAATATATTGGCAACCATTAAATGTGGTCTGGGGATAAGTTGGGATGGAGAGTGTTCAATCTCTGCATGGGAAGAGTAGGAGAAGGTAAGGGGAGCTAGAGTGGAGGGTAGACTTGGCCTTACGTGACTTGCTGTACCTCATTGATTCTCAGTTAAAATATCACTGCCGAGACCCCCATCTTTCTTTTCCTTTCCTTACCTGCATCGTTTTAAGAAGCTTTCCAGCAAATTCTTATGTGTAATGACTGTTATAAATCCTGAAAACAACTAATGGTTTTAGAGTTCCCCCACAGGCTCTTAGCTGTAGAGGATAGCCAAGATACATCTGTGGTGAGATACCATATTTAACCTTTCTGGCACTCTTAGGTTTCCTACTTTCTAAACTTGAGGGTTGTGATATTTAAACCGCAGCTATCAGAATCACTGGGAGGGCTAGTTCAAACAGATTCCTGGCCCCCATCCCCAGAAGTTCCAGATTCTTTTGTCTAGAGTAGGGCCTGAGAATTTGTAAAGTTCTCACCCATGCTAATGTTGTAGGTCGGAAGAACCATTGTTTTCAGGTCAGCTCAAAGTAGCAAATCAGTATTAATTTTATCCTTATTCTTTCTGTAGGATGAATTTGGGTCGTCACTTTAAAAGGATTATAGTTAATGAATTAGGGCTATTTTGAGGATATGCAAAACATTTTATTTTCTCACAAAGCATAGTTACAATGTTAAAACTGCTGTGTCATGCTAAAATAAAATGAATATCAAATTTATTTTTCTCTTTATTAGATTATGTGCTGCTGTAAAATGAGAAGTTTTAAAAAATTAAAGCTACATGTACCTCCTGGAAGAAATTACAGTTCCCTGCCAGGTACAAATGTTAGATTCTTCTCATTTTATCTGAACTGTTGACTTTATCATTTTTTTCCCCTCTTTCTGCCTCTGTTTTTGTTTAAACAGATAAGAATAAGAATCTCCCTTATTAGGGGTCTCTGACCGCCTATTTCCTTGAGATTATTAGGGGTGGGAGTACTCTCACAGATGGCAGGAGGAGGTTGTGCTCCTCCTCATTTACTGAACATGCTGATGAGCTGAGTGAAGGGAAGGTTGGTGTTTTCATAGCAGGTTTAGAAGTTCAGTGTGTAAGTCTCCCTGTAGAATGCTCTTGTAAAATACGTATTTATTTTCTAGTTTCTGTTTCTTATGCAAGGGTTTTCTGTCAGTAGAGGTTTACTAGAACTTATTTTAAAGATTCTTATTCTGAATCATGACTTAACTACTAATAAAAACGTGTTGAAAAAGATTCTTAAAAGGAGTTTGGTGATTATATGAATAATTTGGGTTAGATATTTGGCTATCAAAAGCTGAAAGTTGATAAGCTGGTTACTTGAGTCTTGAAGGTCCTTCCTGTATTTGCATTAAGCAAGCATGTAGTAGACCTTGTGAAACTACAGGAGTGTAATTCTGCTGTTTTTCTCATTACTTTTTTTGTCATGTGAGAATAATAGAATAAAAATACCAACTGGCTGTTGATTTAAAAGGGCATGTGAATTTAATGGGCTGCATTATTGGGGTGTATTGTACGTAGGTTGCTCTATTTTGCCCATGTGAATTTAACTGTAGCAGTGTCGGTTATCTTTTGATCTTCAAATGCTATGAGGTTTTTTTTTTGAGACAGAGCCTAAGCTGGTCCCCTTGATAGAGTGCTGTGGCATCACAGCTCACAGCAACCTCCAACTCCTGGGCTCAAGCGAGTCCCCTGCCTCAGCCTCCCAAGTAGCTGGGACCACAGGCATCCGCCACAACGCCCAGCTATTTTTTGGTTGCAGCCATCGTTGTTTGGTGGGCCCAGGCTGGATTTGAACCCGCCACCTTAGGTGTATGTGGCTGGCGCCTTACCCACAGGTGCCAAGCCATGAGGTTTTTAAAATAATATAAAACTGTTCTTATCTTATTACAGAAACTTAAGAGAAATAGTTTGAATAGCAGGAAGGTGCAGATTAAATTTACAAATATAACTGCATTGTTGCTTTAATATTATCTCTTAAAATTTATGGTAAACCTGAAGTAAGCCACTATGAACTTTTTAATTTTAAAAAATACTACTTAGCTTTTTAGAAGTGTTAGATTGTTGTGACTTCTGTTTAGTGGTACTTCAGGCCATCTTTAAAAGTATTGTATCCTGAGATTGCTCAGGAAAATAGGTTCCAAATTGTACAAAACCTCTATCAGCTGATAAGAGGATTGATCACTCTTAGTTCTTCAAGCCTTGGAAAATGTAAGTTTATAGGAGTGTGCATTTTTAAATTTTTCTTTGATTCAGAATATACTAGGGCCTTAAGATTATCACTACAACCATTACTTTTTATTCTGCAATTTTGTAAATAGACATTCAGTAGGTGGGAGAGATTGGAGTAAATCTGTGTTTTTCTGGAAGTTGATGTTTAAAACTTTGATCTTGTTTTATTGTCAGTCATAGCTTTTTCCTTACAGACTGCAAGAAAATAAATTTTATATAAATGACAATTTTATTAAGCTTGAGTTTTATTTTATTTGAAATTATAGTGTGTGCTTAAAATTATTTTAATTTCCTTCATTTATAAAGGAAAATTTCATAAATTTTATGGTTTGAGTTTAACCTTCTTTTCATTAGGCTTAATGGGAGATGATATCAAGTCCCTTCATTCTGTCATCAGTCCTCCCATAGCAAAGTAAGTACCATCATTGATACCATTTTTTTCATAGGCTGCCAAGAACATTTACATACTTCTCTGAGGGGCATTGTTAGTGGAGTGTAACAGCAGCACACTTTTCATAAAATGAATATGAAGTATTCTCAGGATTGTAGTTAGCCTTTTAGTTACTTAGCTTTTCTGTCAGAGTAATGTGGTAGGATGTATTCTAAATGTGTTCTTCATTTTTCTGGTTTTTACACAATTATCATGTAACTTAGAGAAATACTAAGCAGCTTTGAAATTTGCACAACATAGATATTTTGGTTTAGTAATTTTGTATAAGCAGAGAATATAATGTCTACCTCATAACACTTTTTCTTTTTTTCCCTTTTAAATAGAATTCGTAATATTGGAATTATGGCTCATATTGATGCAGGCAAAACTACCACCACAGAAAGAATATTGTATTATTCTGGATACACAAGATCACTGGGAGGTTAGAATGGATTCCTCCTCTCCTCACCCTCATTAGCAAGTCATCATTGAAAAATGTTTTGATTGAGAAGTCAACATAGGCACCTTGAGTATGGCAGGAGGCACAGATGTCTAAGCTACAACATAAAGATAAGGTAGTTGCAACACCCACCAAAGAGTCTTAGTTTCAACTAAACATTCAGACTCATAAGACAATCATGGACCCCATTTGGCTCTGGTCTACTTGGACCATAGCTTATCAACAGACCAACATTAAATGTTTCTTTCTATGGGAGTTGTTAATAGCATTCCACCTCCTTATCTGGGGAGCTGTCTTCTTTAGCTACCAGAAGAGTGATAGCTTAGGTGTAAGGTGACAAGATCTAGGAGCCATGCTAGCTTAGAAGACTCATGCCTTGTAGAAATGAATATTCTTGTTATAACTCCAGAGGCATAGCTTTCAGGTTCCACATAAACGTCATGACATACTCAGGGAAGTGCAAAGTTATGTTTTTTCGTTAGGTGTTTATAATTCATTTATAGTTCTTCCCAATTCAGATTAAGTTTACCTATCAGAAGTTATTTTTTCACAAGATAAATTGCCAATCCACACAGTTGGCATACTTCTGTTATCTAGTTTCTAGAAGAACAAGAAAAAATTAACCAGAGTCAAATTCTTATGTAGAAGAGGAAAAGATTTTGTTAATCCTTCCATTATGATAGTAGTATATGTGTAAGTCTTGAATTTTTTTTTTTAATTTAGTCATAGCTGTGTACATTAATACTGTCATGGGGTATTGAATTTATTTTTTAATTGTAACGTGCAAACTGGTATTTGACTAGGCACATACATTTGGGTCCCCATGTAGCCTTTCTTTTTTCTGTATTTTTATTTTGATTTTAAATAATGATGCCCTGGCCTATCTCCACTCTGGAAATTAAGATTGAGAAGGTCTAGTACATAATAAGCACTATACTGAGAACCATTTCTCTAGACCCTTAGTATACACTGAGACTTAGCATAATACTTTAGAGAGGAAAAGAACTCCAGGATTAGAATCTTCATGATCATAGGTTCCTGAATGTATAACCACCTAAACTTTTCATAGAATTATTGTTACATAAATGGAAATATAACAGATGGCAAAGTACGGAACTTTTAGTCTTCCTCTGTTAGGTCACAAATGTGATAATCTTCTTTCACATCTGCAGTTTATATCCCTGAAGTGAGGGTCCAGATGTGGTGAAGCCAGGCAATTTTCATGTTATCTTTTAAATTGTGGCAAAGAACATATCATAAATATTACCATCTTAACCATTTCCAAGTGTTTAGTTCAATAGTGTTAAAGCATATTCATATTGTACAGCCAATCTCCAGAACTTTTTCGTCATGTAAAACTGAAACTCTGTACTAGACCCATTAAACAGTTTCCTAGTTCTCCCTCCCCCTAACCCCTGGCTTCTCTAGATACCTCATGTAAGTGGAATCTTACCGGTATTTGTCTTTTTATGACTGGTTTATTTCATTTACCTTCATGTCCTCAAGGTTCCTCCATGCTGTAGCATGTATCAGGATTTTCTTCCCTTTTTTTTTTTTTTTTTTGAGACATAGTGTAACTCTGTGCTCTGGGCGGAGTGCCGTGGCATCATAGCTCACTGCAACCTCAAACTTTTGAGATTAAGCAATCCCTTTACCTTAGCTTGCCAAGTAGCTGGGACTATAGGTGCCTGTCACAATGCCCAGCTAGTTTTTTTTTTTTTTTCCTATGTTTAGTAGAGAAGGGATTTCATTCTTGCTCAGGCTGGTCTCAAACTCCACCTGCCTTAATCTCCCAAGGTGTTAGGATTACAGACATGAGCCACCACTCCTGACCTAGGAAAGATTTTTCTTAAAACAAATTTAACTGTGTAAAATACATTTGCTATTAAGACTAAACTATGTCAACTTTTTCCTGGTTAGATGTTGATGATGGAGACACAGTGACAGATTTCATGGCTCAAGAGCGAGAAAGAGGCATTACTATTCAATCAGCTGCTGTTACATTTGATTGGAAGGGGTATAGAGTCAATCTAATTGATACACCAGGTATGGTACTATTTTAAGAATACACAGATGCTGTATCATTGGAAGTGTTTTGTTTGTGTGGAGTGGTTTTTTGGTTGCGATAAAAGCCATATAACATAACTTTTACCATCTTAGCTATTTTTAAGTGTACACTTCTGTAGTAAGTATAATTACATTGCTGTGAAACATCTCTAGAATGTTTTCATCTTGTAGAACTGAAACTCTGTATCCATTGAACAACTTCTTTTGTCTCTTCTCTCCACCCATGGTAACCACCATTCTAGGTTCTATGGCTATGAGTGTGAGTAGATGACTCATAAGTGTAACCATACTGTATCTGTACTTGTGTGGTTCACTTATTTCACTTACCGTAATGTCCTCAGGGTTCAGCCATATTATAGCATGACAGGATTTCCTTCCTATTTAAAGCTAGGAAATATTCCACTGTACACGTATATCACATTTTGTTGATCCATTCATATGTCAATAGACGTTTGGGTTGTGTCTACCTTTTTATCTGTCATGAACAGATGCTGTGAACATGGGTTGGCAAGTATCAAAATTAATGACCTTAATTTTTTAATACTTTTGGGCAGGGGTCCTCAAACTTTTTTTTTTTTTGAGACAGAGCCTCAAGCTATCCCCCTGGGTAGAGTGCCATGGCATCACGCTCACAGCAACCTCCAACTCCTGGGCTCAAGCGAGTCTCCTGCCTCAGCCTCCCAAGTAGCTGGGACTACAGGCGCCTGCCACAATGCCTGGCCATTTTTTGGTTTTTTTGGTTGCAGCCATCATTGTTGTTTGGCGGCCCGGGCTGGGGATTCGAACCTGCCACCTTAGATGTATGTGGCTGGCGCCTTAGCCGCTTGAGCCACAGGCGCCGAGCCCAAACTTTTTAAACAGGGGGCCAGTCCCTCAGACTGTTGGAGGGCTGGACTATGGCCCTGGGACGAGTTGGCTGCTAAGTAGGACAGGCAGCAGCAGCAGAAACACCCGGCAGGCCAGATAAATGTCCTAGGCGGGCTGCCTGGGGCCTGCGGGCTGTACTTTGAGGATGCCTGCTTTGGGGTATACACCAAAGTGGGATTGTTAGATCATGTAATGTTTTTGTTTTTTAAAAAGATTTTAAGCATTATGTCTTATTTTTTTCTTAGGACATGTTGATTTCACCTTGGAGGTTGAACGCTGCTTAAGAGTGTTGGATGGTGCAGTGGCTGTGTTTGATGCTTCTGCTGGTGTAGAGGTAAAAAATATTGGCAGAGTGAAGATAAAATGGCATGATTTACAAAAAGAATATATCAGATTTAGTTAACTGTATTCCTTTATCTGGTAAGTTTATATAAATCAAACTGTTGTTAAAGGAAGTTGGAATTTAATATTGAGTATGACATATATGTGATCTCAGATATTTCATGGTAAAAGAAAAGACATGTTCACTTTTCTGTAGAACATAAAAAAGTTAGTGTCAAGAACTGTGAAGGGCCTGAAACACCATCTTACTTTTAAGCTAACAAGTTAGCATGCCTAGTTTTATGGATTCTAGTAAAAGATGTAAGACTCCTGGTTCAGAGACAAGAGATTTTATTAATCGTTGAAATATCGGTAGCCAGAGTATTTGCATTTTCTTGTGTTGGTCCTTCAAATCCCAGTTTCCATAGGGTGACATGAAGAGAGTCAGGTGACAACTGCATGTACAGTGAGTTGAGAAGAAGTCTATACTTAGCAAATGAAAGTATTTTATAATAGGCAGTAAGCATGCCTACCCATTGCTCTAGAGGAAGACATCTTCTAGCGCTATAAGCAGACCTCTCATTTGGTTCAGAAAGACACATTATCTTTTCTTTCAAGACTACTGTACAATCATCATTGAAAGACTGGCGAGATCAAAGGCCAGTCAATTCCTTTTCTAACAAAGCATGCGGAACCATGAGAGACCCATGAAGAATTATCTCCCAAAAATTAATATAAAGGCTCTTGAATAAATTCTGAAGATGGATTTATAATAAATAATTTACTTGCTCGGCATCTGTAGCACAGTGGTTACAAGCCAGCCATGTACACCAAAGTTGACAGGTTCAAACCTGGCCCAGGCCAGCTAAACAACAATGACAACTGCAACAAAAAATAGCCAGGCATTGTGGTAGGCACCTGTAGTTCCAGCTACTTGGGAGGCTGACACAAGAGAATCGCTTGAGCCCAAGAATTTGAGGTTACTGTGAGCTGTGATGCCATAGCACTCTACTGAGGGCGACATAGTGAGACTCTGTCTCAAAAAAACAAACAAACAAAATTTACTAATGGGGTTAGTTTTGCCCTCCTTATAGCTGGTGCCCTCTTCATCTTATAGTCTTAAAATTGGCTTTATGGGCTCGGTGCCTATGGCTCGAGTGGCTAAGGCGCCAGCCACATACACCTGGGGTGGCGGGTTCGAATCCCCAGCCCGGGCCCGCCAAACAACAATGATGGCTGCAACCAAAAAATGGCCAGGCGTTGTGGTGGACGCCTGTAGTTCCATCTATTTGGGAGCTATCTCCAAGCTGAGGCAGGAGACTCGCTTGAGCCCAGGAGTTGGAGGTTGCTGTGAGCTGTGATGCCATAGCACTCTACCCAGGGGGATAGCTGGAGGCTCCGTCTAAAAAAAAAAAATTGGCTTTATGTTGAATATAGAATCCATATGAGTGCTTCTAACCTTAAAATTACTAGAAGTAACATTATCTTAATTAGGTGATGAAAATTACTGTGTTTTAAAATGGGATGAATTGACATAGTGGGACTCCTGTTATGCTGCACCAAGGACACACAGCATTACAAATGCTAAACTCTTGTCAAAAATGTTTGACTAATATCTCACCATGAGAAAACAATCAAATCTAAATGAAAAAGCATTCTGCTTAAAAAAACTGGCAAGCACTTTTCAGAAATTGAAATTGAAATTTTTTTTATTAAGGTAAGCATGATAGCTGATGAGTACAGAAAACTGTAGACCTGTTCTAGCTTGAAGGATTCTAAAGAGACAAGGAAACTAAATATAGTACATGATTCTTTTTTCTTTAATTTTGAAGCCTTTTTTTTGTCAATTGGTTATTAACAAGTCTATGTAAGGTTAAGATTCCAATTAAAAGAAGTGTTTTCCTTTGAAGGCCCTCAGGGCTCAGTTGTACATCATGTAGCAAGTAGCTCTGAATTTGGCATAAGACTTAATGACCTTATTTACAGCTTCTAAGAAATCAGTAGCAATTTTTCGCCATGCTGTGATTGCAAACATACCAGCTTCTGTGCAGGTGCTCCTAATCTGAGCACCAGGCTATTTGGACACAGTCATGCTAACAATTCAAACCTGATAGCTCTTTCAACACTCATTGAATGAGCATGAATCGTAAAGATGTGAGTCTGACCCTCTAAATCAGGTAAACTAAATTCAATCTTTCTGTTCAGCCTCCCTGGCCTCATCAGTGCTGGATCCAAAGTGTCAGGTCTGTTAGTTGCCATTAGCAGTTTAATATTGCCTCGAGGATCAAACCCATCCAGCTGATTGATTAGTTCCAACATTATTCTCTGCACTTCATTGTCACCTCCAGGACCATCATCAAACCTAGCCCCTCCAATAGCATCAATTTCGTCAAAGACGATAAGGCAGGCTTTTTTGTTCTGGCCATTTCAAAGAGCTCACGAACCATTTGATCCCCCCTCACCAACATACTTCTGTACAAGTTCAGATCCAGTAATGGGAGTGAAGCAAGCATCAGTCTTATTAGCACTGCTCGAGCGCAGAGTGTCTTGCCTGTGCCTGGTGGACCAAAGAGCAGCTCACCCTTGGGAGGCTCAATACCAAGGTTAACAAACCTCTCTGGGTGAAGTAACGGGGTCTCATTGATTTTCTTGAGAAGTTGCTGAATATCTTCCTCAACCTGCTTGACCTGCCTAGAGTAAGTGCTCTCTCTGACCATAACTTTTCAGCAAGGTGACATCCCCCTCATCCAGAGCTCGGATGGGTTTGTCATCCTTCTCATCCTCTTTGGTTTTCTGCTGATTGGCACCAAGGTAATCCGGCATTTTGGGAGATGCAAGTGCCTCAGCTTCTTAGTGATTACACAGCCTTATAAATACATGATTCTTGATTGGATCCTCGATCAAAAAATGTTAAAAGGACAGCAATCAGAAAATGAGGGAAATTTGAGTATAGATTATATGTATTAGATAAAAGTATTATCAACTTAAAATTTTCTGAATGTGATAATTACAACTGGTTATTTAGGAGAAAGTCCTTATTCTTAGGAAACAAAATGCTGAAGTATTTAGGAGGAAGTGTCACAATATCTACAGCTTGTTCTGATAATACAGCCTCTGTCCACCTGCTTATGTGGTGTTAGTTTGAGCCCTTTGAGAAGGAAATGCCATTGTGGGATTAGATATATGAGAGATTTATTGGGGGAAATGCCTTGGAGAAAAGAAAAGCAGAGAAATTGGCAAGAGCATTCAGACCACAGTGGAGGTCTGACACCTGTGAAGGAGTTGGAAGGAAGGAGTGGGTAGGAAGTGTCTCCAGCTACAGCACAGATCCAAAAAAGGTTTGGCAGGTCGATAGGAGTCCTCAAGCCAAGTTACCTGTTAGAGGGGTCCCATGTCTTGTAGTAATAGGCCTATGTTAACACCTCTGCTGTGCTCAGTCATTAGCTGGAAACAGCCCATAGAAAGCTGGGCCTTGGCTAGAAGGTGGTGGTACAGTCAGAAGGGCAGAAGTTGGGCCATCAGTAAATGATGCTTCTCATAGGAGATGAGTGGTCCATTTATCCACTCACATAATGCACACATGCATGCTTGTTGGTAGAGAAAGAGAAAAAGCAAATGTGGCAAATGTTAACATTTGGGGAATCTTGGTGAAGAGTATGTGAATATTTACTAGTTCTGTTGTTTTTTTTCCTTTCCGGTATTCTTCCCATTCTCTTAACTTTTCTCTTGATTTGAACTTTGTCAAAATGAAAAGTCAGGGTGGGGGGAGATAATACAATTACTGAAACTTGTCTGAGAACCCCTGATAGTGATAAAGCCTGACACTGAGGTCTGAGGTTGATTATACGTTGTTATATCTGAATCTTTCTGGTCACTTTATATCCTAATGGTTGCATCCTTTCTGTTATCGTAACTTCTTTACGTAAGTTTGACTGACTTAATCATTCAGACAGATTACATTGCTTGTAAGACTGAAATATGCTGAAATAGGAAATTTCTAAATTTGCAAAGCAGGAGGCACTCATTCTAAAATGGTAGATGGGTTTTTAGTTAGCACGTGGTATGATAGGAGATTTTTGCTTTTTAAAAAAATTTTTTTCCTTTTTTGAGATAGAGTCTCATTCTGTTCCCCTGGGTAGAGTGCTGTGGTGTCATAACTCACAGCAACCTCAAATTCTTGGGCTCAAGAGATCCTTTGGACTCAGCTGGGACAATAGGCTCCTGCCATAAGGTCTGGCTAGTTTTTCTGTTTTCAGTAGAGACGAGGTCTTGCTCTTGCTCAGGCTGGTCTTAGACTCCTGAGTCAAGCCCACCCACCTCAGTGTGAGCCACCATGTCCAGTCTTTAAAAAGTTTTTAATAAGTTGTTGATCTTGGGTGGCACCTGTGGCTCAGTGGGTAGGGCGCTGGCCCCATATACTGTGGGTGGCGGGTTCAAACCCAGCTCCGGCCAAACTGCAACAAAAAAATAGCTGGGTGTTGTGGCAGGTGCCTGTAGTCCCAGCTACTCGGGAGGCTGAGGCAAGAGAATGGCCTAAGCCCAGGAGTTGGAGGTT